TCTATTCCATACTGTGGTGCCTCACTCAAGCCCTGCTTCCCCCACTTCCAATCCCAACATCCAGGGAGATGGCAGCACTTGGGACCTTGCTACTCCCAGGAGAGATGTAGAGTTCTCAGCTCCTGGCTTTGGCCTGGATCAATCAGCCCTGGCTGATGCAGGAATTTGGAAATTGAACCAGCAGACAGAAAATTCTCTTTCTCTCTTCCAAAAAAATGAAAAAATTTAAATTAAAAACCAAAATTTCCAGACCAGCACTATGGAGCTTCCTGCTACTGTAACTGGGAGACAGCAGAAGACAGCCAAAGGGCGGGGGACTCTATCACCCATTAGGGAATAAACCTAGAGATGGAATCTCTTTCCTCTCAATCCCTGTCTCTCTCCCCTCAATCTTTGTGTAATCCTTTCAAACAAATCAGCAAACCTTTTTAATTAAAACTTTAAAAAATAAATAAAATTTCAATTCAAATTTTAAGATTCCCAATTATTTAAAGGAAGAAAAGGAAAGGAAAATGGCTTCAAATAGTCTCAAAGCATCATCAAAACAAAGTTTTAACAGAGAAAATCAAAACGTTAAGCTTGCTGTTCATGAAAATGTGACATGGCAATTTCCAAGAGACAAAAAATTATACAGTAAGAAGCATTTATATTAACTTCTGCCAACCAAGATGTAAAAGAGTACCTGCAATTACTTCTAGAGAGCCATGCAAATATCCTTTTTCTGTAACCCATGTCAGCTGGGAGGCAATTCAGACTCATTTCTTGCAAGGTATCTGCATATGTATATTTAAAAGATTTTTCTAACTGCTTTCCCCCCCGAAATCACAGTGCTCCAAAGAAAAATACATAAAATAGACCACTGCAATGTTTGCCTCAAATTTTATTTAAAAACTTTAAATTTACATTGGTTAAAAAAAAACATGCTAACTCACAAGATTCACATATTTATGTAACTATTTGAAATAAAGTTTCTCTTATCAGTTCATTGAATAAATATGCACGTTTCACGAGCATACCATTAATCAAGTCTACAGCTCTGCACTTTGACTCTACATAAAACTGCACAAGTGAGTGCACTATTGCACAACTATGTGAATGACTATGAACTAAATGAAACGACAAAATTTTTAAAAAACTGAACAGAAGTAATCACCATGATCCTTATCCCCAATTTAAATTTTGCATTTATTAATTGACTTCACAAAAAAATGTAACAAATAAATTTCTCCTTGCAACTAACCAGACTCATGCAACCCTGAAAGGGGCAAACATATTTTTTAATCAAGCATACTAAATGATAACTTGTGAAAGAACCATGAATAAACATGCTAATAGCGGATTAAAGGCATATAGCTACACATTACCAAGACTTAAAAATTATGCTAAAGTTGGGGCCAGCACTGTGGTACAGGGGATACTGTGGCATTGGCATTCTATATGGGCAATGGTTCAAGTCCTGGCTGCTCCATTTCCAATCCAACTCCCTGCTGTATGTACCTAGGAAACTGACGGATGTGCCTCAGTATCCACAAGGGAGAAGCAGCTCCCAGCTTTGAAATGACTCAGCTCCAGCTGTTGTAGCCATTTGGGCAGTGTACTGGTAGATAGAAATCGATTTCTTTCTCTCCCCAACTCTGCCTTTCAGACAATAAATAAATATTTTAAAATTTGCTTAAGTTAACAAGTTTAAGACGATTCAATGCTAATCAAATTTTATTACATCCAAAACCTTTATTTACAAATAAAAAAAAATTAAATCTACCAGCCCCAGACAAAACAAAGATCCATTTAGTTCAGAGAAGACCTTTGTAACTTTCCAACCTGTAATGTGCCTGAAAATTCACTGCTGTACTATCTAGGCTGAAATCATTTACTGAGCCCACTGAGAGAATATTCTCGGTCTTTTCTACCTATTACAAGAAACAGCAATTACCACAGGACTCCTAAAAGCTCAGGGATAGAAGAAAAGCATCCAGGAGGATTGGAAACAATTCAGATATATTTTAGAACTTAAAAGCAGCAATCACACATTTGTATGATTTTTCAAGGGCTCATTCTAAATGTTTAAGATCACAGTCTCCTGATTTTAGAGGAACTACAAAGAGACTGAAGGCATTCATTTCACAAACTACACAGACTTTTCTAATACCTGTTCAGCTATTCTATATAAAAATAACAGCTACTAGGAACATAGTCTCAATTTGAAGTTTTAAAAAAGTTTTAATGTTTTAAAAATTAAAAATGCCACGGAACCTGGGGCATAGACAATGAAGAAAAACAGAAAGGAACAAATTAGTGTGTTAATTTAACTGCAGAATAATGACAGGATATTCGCAGAGTTCTGAGTATCTGAAGTGACCAATCAGAGCCTAAACATAGCTGAATTCCATCCCAGCCCCGGCACGTCCCTAGCACAAGAATAAAACCCTTCTTATCTTGTTCAGCCATGTGTCGCCTGCCACAAACTGCAAAACAGAACAACGCCCAAAACCAGCTAGTCTGATTTCAACTGAGGACAGACGGACTCTGTAGTCAGAAGCACCACAATGAAAGAACTCCAACTCACACAGCTGGCCTGGTGGTTCTGCACTCTCTGCAGAACAAAGCCGTACCACATTCAGTACTTCAAACTTGAAAAGATTGCTAAAAAGCTACAATGGCTAAAAAGCTTACTTGGCCAATAGTTCTAGAATCAGCAAAACAGACCTGTTGTACTCTGGAGTTGGACAAGAGGATGAAGTAGGTAGGCTCACAGGAAGCTAGAAATTATTCTGTACTCACAACTTTGTTAAGGCATTAGAACAGAGAAATACCACTGAACTAGTACTTCCAAATTTCACCCAACATATACTCAAATGAGGAATAACTACTACCTTGAAGAGAGAAAATGGATGCTTTATACTTACAAAATAAGTTGCTGAAAGAAAAACTGGTAGTGACATAATTCACACTAAGACACAAGTCTCACCAGTGCTTATTAAATTACACATGATTTTAATTTTTCTTTTAAACATGTAAAAATAAATAGAATGAAATAAAATAAAAAACCAACAACTACAACAACAAAAAAATACAAAAAGAAAAAGATGTATATAAAATCAGCCAAGACCAGAATCAGTTCAAGCATACAAATGCCCAGGCCCAGCACTATGCCTCAACTGGCTAAATCCTCATCTTACAAGTGCTAGGATCCCATGTGGGCACTGTTTGAGTCATGGCTGCTCCACTTCCCTTCCAGCTCCCTGTTTGGGGCCTGGGAAAGCAGCAGAAAACTTCTCAGATCTGTGGGAGACCAGGAAGAAGCTCCTGGCTTCACACCTGCTCAGCTCTGGTCATTGTGACCATTTGGGGAGTGAACTGGCAGATAGATCTTTCTCTCTGTGTTTCTTCTCTCTGTAAATCTGATCTTCCTTTCCAACTGAAAAACAAAAACATGCGAATGTCCAAACCATGCTTGTGCCCAACACAGTGCCTGCCAAAGAACAGGCTTTCAATAACTGCATGCTCTTTGAATGGCAATATGCCATCTAAGTTATAAAAAGGACAGATCCTAACATTTTACTTCCAAGATAACAGAGAAAAATAAAACCCTTGAAGAGCAAAGCTGGGGCCTTTCAGTGGATGAACTGGTGACTCCAAGCTTCTACAACAGCCTTGTAGCATCACAAGGAAAACCAACACGGCCACGTCAATGCCTAGAAAGATCACTTGTCTATGAGAGCAACAGAAAGACAAGAACTAAACATATTCTGAGAAAAATTTAACACTACTTCGCTGAAAATGGAAACCCATTTAATAAAACACACACAGGATGAACATAAATAGCTTAAACATTTAATGGAATCTTTTAGGTGAACATTCATGTGACACTGGAAAGCATCAACAGGAAGAGGAAGTTCTGTTTCTGGAGTAGCTGTTATGGTATGATAATGGAATTTGGCTCTTTTAAAATCAACAAATGAGCTTCACAATTGGGTAAAAACTCTTATTAGAAAACCAGTCTACTTCTGCAGAAGCACTGTTGTTGAACTTTCCATCACATAGCTTTGAACCTCAAATTCAGTTATTTGATCTATTTTTTTAGACTTAACAGTTTGAAAGTTAACGTAATAAACTGAAATTGCAACTACCATGACATACTAGCATTATGCCATAATTAAGAAATAAAATGTGGTAAAAATATCAACCGTGTAAATTGTGCAAAAGAATGACTACTGAGAGGAAAAGGAAACTTCACATCAACCACTTACAGTCCAGTTCAATACACCGACATACCTCAGTTACACATACATATAGAGGAGAAACAGAATTCAACACATCCACCTGCCACACTTGCATTATGCTTAGGGCTTCCACCCCTTAAACAAGTGTCTCTGAAAGATGAAATATTAAAATCCAATAATTAAGAGCAAGCCCTATGATTTTCCCTCATTTCTTCTGGCTCCTGGATATTGCCTCCAGCAAGACCTTGTGATTTACTGACAAAGACAACATTCTGGAAAATTATTATATAATGAATAATGAAACACTGTGTGGATCAACACCTAAAACAGATCAAGTTCACAAACCACCAAGAAGGCGGCTTCAGATTCAGTTCACAGACAGAAATCCTCCAAATCAAAACTTCACAGAACCTCTTCTATGGGATGGGAGTCAAACCGGAGATACCCCAACACCCAGCCGTCTAGAGGCACTGACCTTCACCCAACATGACCTTCCTTTGCTTCCAAAGAATGGCACCGAATTCAAATGCACACTACAGCCAAAATCAGAAACCAAAACCCCCAGGATCACGGTGGTGCTCGCCCAGAGGAAGCTGTATTCCCAATCCAATCAACCGGGAACTTTGGCAGCAACCATTAGTTAAACGTACAGCTCCGAAACAACCCTCTTTTCCTGTGCCTGTCAACTTCATCGGCCCAAGGCAATGTGCGAACTCGGACACTTGCCGGGCCGGCCGGGACGCAGAAGGGCTAAGGAGAGAACAGCTGCATACCAACCTGTCGGTGATAGTCGACTGTGTGCCACTCATTGGGGCCCTTGGCGAGAGGTCCTCCTTTTATCCAACTTGCATTTTACAGTAACACCTCCACCCCACCCCCAGTGCACTGGGATCAGGCCCAACTCCGTCCGGAACACAGAAGTCCAACTCAAAACTCCATGCAGTCATCTAGAACATCCGATTGGAAGGGGGTCAAGGAAAGGGGATGCGGGTCGCAGCAAAGTAAGTTAGCTTCCGAAACCAACGAACCAAGTCAGCCAGAAAAGGCGAGTCCTAGCGCCAGCGATAAATCCTCCAGGACGCACAGGGGAAGAAGTCGCCGAAGCCAGTCCGTGGGAAGGGGACACCCGGTCTCCCTCCCGGGGCCGGGGCGGGATCGGCTCCTCCTCCCGAGTCTCGGGGCCGGGGAACTCCGTCCGCTCCCGCAGGGCCGAACCCTCTCGTCACCGCTTCTCTAACTGGGGCTGCCGGTCGCGCGTGGCCGCAGCCTCGGTCGCGTCTCGGGCCGTCCCGCGCCGGGCTCGCGCGGCCCCATGTCCCCCGCGGCCCGGGGACCCCCTGGGCGTCCTCCTCGCCGCCCCCCACCGGGCTCCGGACACCGGGACGAGCTGCGGGGTGCCGGGCGGAGAAGAGGGGACCTCGCAACCTGAGGTGACAGGGACCAGGGTCTGTCTCAGCGCCGCGAGCAGCGCCCCATCCCTTGGAGGCCCGGACTCTTCCGCAGTCAGCACGGGCGGCGGCTCCTCCCCGAAGCTCCGGTCATGGGGCGCGGGATGTTTTCCCGTCCGGCCCGGGGCCTGGTGGAAGCCCCGACCCCGGGAGGCGACAGGCGGCGGTGGTGGCGGCCGCGACTGCCCGCGCACAGCCGGCTCGCCGAGTGCCGGGGACCCTGGCGGGAGCGCGCGTGGAGGGCGGAGGAGGCCGCCGGCCGCGGGGGTGAGGGGAGGGAAGCCACCGACAATTGCGGGTGCGCGCGCGCGCGGGTTCCGGTTCCGGTTCTGTCTTCCCGGTCGCGTCCAGCGCTGGCTCGCGCTTCCCCTCCCCCGCCGACTTTTTGGTCCTCCTCCCCGCTGACTTCGGGAAGCCGCCTCACCCGGGATCCCTCCGCCGCGTCGCGCCCTCCGCCGCGGCCTCCTCTGGGGGAGCGGAAAAGTAGTCCCGCGGGGCACGCCGCCGCCAGGGGCCCGCCGCCTGCCCGCCCCGGAGCCCCGCAGGGCGCGAGAGGGCGGCCGTGGGGGTGATGCCTGTCCTGGGTCGGTGTTAGCCAGAGGTGGCCCTCGAGCCCTCCGTAAACTCTGAGGATTTCAGGAGGCGAGGCTCTTCGGGCAATTACCCGCACCCCTAAGTCCTGGAAACTTTTATTCCCTGAGGGACTGGACTCGTTCTCCCTATTTTCCGATCCTCTGTGTCGAATGCTTTCGAGCGAGGGTCGCGAGCTGGGGTTCCGGCGCCCAGACAGCGTCCTTCACCCCTGTGAAGAAAGCTTTTGGCGTGGGCTGCCCACCTGGGGCACCTGCTGGCCTCCACCCGGATGAGAGGCCGCCGTCCATGAGCCGCGACGAAAGAGAATTTCGGAAGCAGAATCAGCGTTTCTTTAGGATAAATACGGCTTTTAGGCTTTCTCTGGCTTGGCAAAAATGTATTATTTACCTGAGAAAAAGTGGTGCTTCCCACAGCGACTTCACGAGCTTGTGGATAGAAGTGGGAACAAAGTATATACCGAGTAAATAGCATTACTGACTCTCTCTGAAAAGTTGTTCTTTGGGGTGGGGGGGTCTCTCCACCCCATCCTAGTTGGTGGAGAGATATACACCCGCCTAGTTTTATGATTTGAGTAGCTCAGTGTGGCGGCATGTCCTACATGTAGTCTAGTCCTGGATGCTGCCAGCAAGCGTTTGAAGTTGTAGCTATTACTTTTACCCAACTCAGTCAGGCTTAGGAGCTTTAACTGGTACCGGAAGGAGACTTCAGCCATTTTGTGGAAATCAAGTGGCAAATCGAGTCTAATAAACAGTGGCTGTGAAGAGGGGAAACGATTACCTCTTAACAATGCCGTTTCAAAAGTCATTCCCCACTGTTCATGAAAGAATCATTATCCCTAAATAGACTCATGAGCTCACACTTGACGTTAGAACTGGGGTAAAAAAAGGAAAAGATAAACAGAGGCCAAAGATGACTCGTTATTACTTGATTTTTTTAAATTCGACACAGCCAGCTAATTTTGTAATATTTATTTTTAGAAAGAATAGAAGCGGATTAAGATTCCAAGCCACTTTCCTAACCATCAGACCTGGATACATTGCCACCTGCTGGTGCATCCCAGCATGGCAAGTCTAGCCAGAACAGTTTCCCAAGAAGGCTCTTTCCTGTATTTAACGGGAGAGAAGTTCCATCCATCTATATATACAGTGACCCAAATTTAGACCTTATCTCAAGCCTTCAAAATCATTCTTACAAATACGAAATGTCTTCTTTTCCTCTACTAATAAGGTTATAGGTCCGGCACAGTAGCCTAGTAGCTAAAGTCTTTGCCTTGCGTGCACCAGGATCCCATGTGGGCACCGGTTCTAATCCTAGCAGCTCCACTTCCCATCAGCTCCCTGCTTGTGGCCTGGGAAAGCAGTCAAGGACGGCCCAGAGCTTTGGGACCCTGCACCTGTGTGCAGGGGAAGCTCCTAGCTCCTGGCTTCAGGTAGGCTCAGTTTCAGCCATTGCAGTCACTTGGGGAATGAATCAATGGAGGGAAGATCTTCCTCTCTGTCTCTCCTCCTCTCTATAAATCTGACGTTCCAATTAAAAAAATAAATCTTTTTTAAAAAAATAAGGTATGATGTAAACATCTAATTAATTAAACCCATTGATTGATCAAATCATTGATTAAAAAAATAACTTCTTTTTTTCTTTCAAGAATGCCTCAACTCTTGGGCTTCAGGGATAAAACAAACTGGGAAATTTTCCTAATTTACCTTCTCTCCCTTGCATACAAAACCTCTTGGCAAGCTGCTTTCAAGATCTTTCCAAACTGCAGCTGACCCAAGGTTCTAGCTGTGAGCAAAGAAGGCATTTGGCTGTGGGAAAACTTCAGAAGATGGTCAGCAAAGGACTGAATTAAGCCAGTGATTTTATTCATCCCAGAACTAAGTTTCCTCAATGATGAAAATCCCTGTAATCACCCACAACGCACTAAACATAAAAACAACTCTAAGAGCCTTGTAGAGCTATTGGCTGCCTGACTGTTGTACAGGCAGTATTTACAGAAGGCCTTCAAAAAGGGGGACAGTACTCACTCAGTGTCCTCTCCTTTACATAGAAACGACACCGTGTACTGGCACTGTTGCGTAGCACACTGGCCTTCTGCCTACGGCACCAAAATCCCTTAGGGAGACAGTTCTACTGCTGGAGGCTCCAAGTCCAATCCAGCTCCCTGCTGGTGGTCTGGGAGCACAATAGTGGAGGCCTGAAACCTTCGGCCCCTGCACCCTGCACATGGAAGATCTAGAGGAAGCTCCTGGCTCCTGGCTTTAGACTGGTACAGTCCCGGTAATTGGGTCCATTTGAGGAATTAACCAGCAGGTGGGAGATCTGTTTTGCCTCTCTGTAATTGTTTCAAATAAAAAATATTTTCTAAAGATTTATTTATTTTCATTGGAAAGGCAGATCCACAGAGGGAAAGAAAGTGCTTCCATCCACTGGTTCACTCACCAAATAACCACAACAGCTGGACTTTCGCCAGTCTGAAGCTTCTGGGTCTCCCACAGGTGTACAGGCTCCCAAAGCATTGGGCCATATTCCACTGCTTCCTCAGGCCACCAGTAGGGAGCTGTATGGGCAATGAAGCAGCCAGAGCACAAATTGGCACCCATATGGGGTGCTGGCCATTAGCCATTGCACCAGCCCTAATAAAAAATAAAGCTTAATTTAAAAAAAAAAAGTAACAACAGCAACCCAATCTACTAGACCCATTCTTTGGAGTGGCTCATAATCAGGGTTATTCTAAGACACATTCCGTTCCACTCTTTCACTTTACTCATTAAGTATCTACTGGTGTCCAAGGCTGTGTTAGCCATTGAGAATGTTATCCTCAAGACAACCCAAAGAGATGGCAGAGCCAAAAAGAAAGTACATTCTCCTTGTCTGACAATTTTCTGTGTATCTATTGTTACCCACCTCCAAACTAAAAAAAAAAAAAAAAAAAGATTGATAATAAACAGAAGATTACAGTCATTTCAGAACTTTTAGAAGCCACAAGGCTTTTTTTGAAGTTCAAGGCAAAAATCACAAGAACATGAAAACAGACTCAGGGTTTATAAAAAGTTCTTTTTATTTGTATAAAATTTAGTAAAATCTTATTGAAATATAAAATCCTTCTTGAGCACTATTAGTATTTATTACATAGTAATCCAGATGCAAGTAAGTATTCTGTCAACCTTCCCACATGTTAATTAGCCTTCATTGACCTAGCATCCTAACTGCTGAGTCGTCTGCATTTCACGTTTTCTTTCTGAGTGGTTTCTTCTTAGTTGCTAAATGACAACATTCAGAAAAGCTAAATTATTCTTTTCCCTTTATCAATAATTCAGGTTTCACAATGGTTAAAAAAAATAAATAAGCCAAATCCATACATTCCCATGAGGGTGCTCTCAGACCATGAAATCTGTAGTCCCTTCATTTCTGAGGGGCAAGGGAGAAAAGAAGTGGTACCAGATTAGGCCTATTCATTTGTCTGGTATGGAACAGGTTGCACTGTGCCAAAATTCAAGAGCCAGCAAAATTCAAGAGCCAGCTTTTTTTTTTTTTTTGTAAGTTTATGGGCCAAGCCACTCTTTTCTACTAAGCTTTTGCTAAAATCAGCATTCCCCTGCATCCTACTTTGACCACAACTTTGTGGGACAGAAGCTGCACCGGCCTTTTTAAGAAAAGAGTGATGAGAGGGAGAGAAAGACAGAGATGTGTTGTCAGCTTGCTTCTGTTTCCAGCAACACCCTTGAAAAGGATGACAATGCTTTTAGAAGAAGCGCTGTTAGCTTGCCTTTAGAGTTGCTGTATGCCTAACAGGGAGGGTTTTCCCCGGCTCTAACCACTCTATTATGTCTGGTTTCTGTGACCAACGACATCCATTTTCACGACCGCACATTAGGTTACTATCACCAGCGACCACAGGATGAACACTTCCTACTGCCCTTCAGCCGTGACTTTGGTACCACCATTTGCTTGCTCTCACACTGAGAAAATGACTTTCCATGGGTTTAAGTAGCATGGTAACAATCAATAAATAGTAAGTACATAAATAAACAAGACTTCATTCCCTCCTCCCCTCTCCCACCAAGAGCCCCTATCTTAAAAGGCCTCCATTGATAAAACATCACACAGCTCTAAGAAACACATAGCCATCATTCACAAAAGGTTTAAAAGGAGGCCAAGGGCAAATAAGGGACCTGCCTCAAAGATCTGGTGAGTAGCAAAATTAAATAAAAAAACTGAGAAAGTCTTCCTCCTCAAGCCCCTATTCTAAGCTTATATTCTTCTTTCTCCTACATGAAGTTAGAGATAACTGCACTGGCATTTTATTTTATTTTTTTCCAAAACTTGCCTTGCCAGATTAGGTTATTCAGAAAGGGGCACCTCCTTAAAAGAAAGAAGAAAGGGCAGTGAGAGTACTAAAAGGGAATGTATCTTACTTACATGGGGAAAAAAGAGGGGGTGGGGGACAGGCAAGGAGAGATGGGGAAACGAGCCACATCACCCTGAGGCCAGTGCACAGACTCAAGTCTTTGGTTTTTTTATGCAGAGCATACAGCAGCGCTGAAACCTGAACTGCCATCCCAAACACAGTGGAATCCGCATGGCAAATCCCGATGGAATTTAGTCATAGCCACTCATGCCTAGGAGATTAATGCACAAAAGCCCTGAGAACTGGCATCATTTTCCTGTTAGGCAGAACCCGTACAACAGGACTGGGTAAAACCATCTGCCCACACCTAATTCATCTTACACTGTATGGTTTCTCTGCAGAAAGGGGTTAACAGCACGCCTGAACTGCTATCCTTGGACAGGCTTGCTCCAAGGCTGGCCCTTGGCAGGCATCTGGGAATTTGATATTGGGGAGGGCTCCCACCAGAAACTGATAAGACTGGCTCACTGTGCCTCAACTGTCAGTGCAAATATGGCTTATGCTGAATGTCTTGAAGTTTCCCACGGTGCTAGGCATAGGCTGCCCAAATGAGCTGTCCCCAGCCTCATCTGTAATGACCTCCTTGCCTGGTAGACAACACTTCATATAGCCTGTCACAAATCATTGCTGGAGGAATTCAGCCCAACCTGCATGATCCAACTGGGAAAGGATTGTACCTAGGGGCCTCTGAACTCTGCTTAAGGTGCTTCTTCCTTCGGCTGATTGCTCATTTGTATCCTGCCACTACAAGAAATCAAAGGCTACATTTTTAGCCGTCTGGTGTCCTCCAGTGAATCGCAGACCTGGGGGTGGCCTTAGGAATGTCCATCAGTGAGTAAAAGGAAGGTTCATTAAGTAACACCCAATTACTGCCAGTTTTTTGCCCAACTGCTTATGCAGATCCAACCCCAATCCAACCCCTAACACCAAAGATATCTCCTCCTAGGAACCCTTTTGTTTAGAGTCAGCAGAGCAAAATTACATACATTACCACACGGAAGGCGGAGCTAAGTGCTGAAGGAATTACTTCTCAAAGGAACAAGACATAGCACTGATCTCTTTCGAGTTCTTTCTAAGCCATCTGAACATGGAGCCATCCAGGGTCAAAAGGACCCACTGATCACCACAAACTACAGCAAATGCCAGTAGCCCTCACCTCACAGTTCTGACTCAACTACCAGCACGATCTTACTTTCTACACCTGTGCCACTGCAGACCATGATATATTAATCCTGGCTTATGCTTGGCTTGAAGACTGACCAAACTGATCAATATATTTTAGCCCTTTTTGGAAACTTAGGTTTACCATAAGCACAATTACTTAACAGCCATATCTCCACCCATGTGTTCTCAGCTGACTCAGCTCAATCCATCATGTGTAGTGAGCCTGTTAGTGTGCCTTGAAATGTCCGTTATGTTTTCGCAGCCACTCCTCACTCCATCTACTTCTCCAGGCATGGTACTTCTTGATGCTTTTCTTCCACGCAAAGCGCCAGATGCTAAACATAAAACACCATGATACAGCATACATGGCCACTCCCCCAGCCTTCACAAACCACTTGGGCGTGGGTGAGACCAGTTCACAGAAAAGGAGGCGAGCTCCTAGGCCAATCCTCACGCCTGTGAAGAGAGCCACAAAAAGGAAGTCCACCACGTCGCCAGTGAAACTGTGGTAGTGCCCTGTTTCTCGGAGAAACCAGCGCATCTGCAGCAAGGGGTTGGTGATCTCACTTCCAAAGAGGACAGCATTGACCTCTGTGCCTGACTCCCCAAGCACCAGGGCCATGATGATCCCCAGGATGCTCAGTGTGTGGTGGGCCAGCATCAGGGCACCCTCAGATTGGAAATAGATGCACCAACCCAGATCGAAGATGAAGTAGCCCAAGGTGAGACAGAGAACGTGCACTTGGAGAGGTGTATTGGGGGAGCCTGAAATAAAGCAAGACAGAGCACATTGAGTGACGGTAATCTGTCACCTTGGAAAGGGAATGCCACATTGTTGTCTTTCAGATCTTACAGCATTGCTGAGGAAGACACAAACAGTGGCAGGCACCTGTTTTCAAACAGTAACCATGGGCAGACTAAGATCTAAAACAGTAGTCTCACCAAAGCACATGATATTCAGGTCCCAGCAAATGCTGGTCCGATGAATCAGACTGCGATGAGTGATTTGATCATAATGTTCTCTCAATAGTACAACATACATGGAGTTACTTAGTCCTTTTAATTAAAATCCTAAACTTATTAAAAAACTAGTTATGCTCTTTTCATAGACTTGAATCTTCTATCCTGAACATCAGGTTAATTCCTTAGCTTAATTAAGAGTAGGTTATTGAACACTGGTGGCCCTAATTCTGGAAAGAACCCCAAAGCTGGTATATTTTAAGAACATTGGGTGCAAGGACCTGACATGAATGAAACCATTAAGAACTTTGACATAAGACATAAAGTTTAAAACTGCCTTCATCCCAGTTTGGAAGTTTTAGGGGGGGGAAACATTGAAGCTTGATACAAAGTGTTTAAAAAAATTCAAAAAAATTTTAAAGCTTTAAAAAAATATATTCCAGGAGAGCTATGGGTGGAATTCTGTCCTCACCAAAAGTGCCTATATTGATGTACTAAATCCCAGGACATCAAAATGTGACTGCATTGAGAGAACCTTCAAGGAGGCCACTCGGCTATAATGGGGCCTGGGAGTATGACTGATGTCCTTTTAAGAAGGTGGTAGAATACACTGCTCCCAATCCCCCACCACACACACTCACAAGGAAGGCAAAATGAGAGGCCACAGAGAAAACCTGACTACCCCTTGATGTTGGACTGTAGCTTCCAGAACTGAGAAAACAAATCTGTGTGGTTGAAGCCACCCAGTCTGTGGTATGTTTATATGTCAGCCCAAGCCAGTAGATATAAGGTAGAATAATTTCTGTATATGAAAGAAGGAAAAAAACTTGTACCACTTAATACAGCTACACAATATATAATGAAGCTAGTGAAATCATTAATCATTGATGGCAAATTCACACAACATAATATTATGTGACAATTAAAAAGGATAGTGAGGATCCATATGTGAAAAGTAACGTCCTTTGGATATGCAATTGAGTAGAAATGACAAAATATGCAGTACAGGGCCCGGTGTGATAGCTTACTGACTAAATCCTCACCTTGCATATGCTAGCATCCCATATGGATGTTGGTTGTGTCCTGGCTGCTACACTTCTCTTCCAGCTCCCTGCTTGTGGCCTGGAAAGTAGCAGAGGAAGGCTCAAAGCCTTGGGATCCTGCACCCGCATGGGAGAATGGAAGAAGCTCCTGGCTCTAGGCTTCAGATCAGCTCAGCTCTGGCTGTTGCAGCCACCTGGGGAATAAATCAATGGATGGAAGATCTTTATCTCTGCCTTTCCTTCTCTCTGTAAATCTGACCTTCCAAGAAAAATAAAAAAATAAATCCTTTTTAAAAAAATTATTTATTTTTATTGCAAAGTCAGATATACAGAGAGGAGGAGAGACAGAGAGGAAGATCTTCCATCAGATGATTCACTCCCCAAGTGACCGCAATGGTTGGAACTGAGCTGATCCAAAGCCAGAAGCCAGGAGCTTTTCTAGGTCTCCCACACTGGTACAGGATCCCAAAACTTTGGGCTGTTCTCAACTGCTTTCCCAGGCCAGAAGCAGGGAGCTGGAAGGGAAGTGGAGCTGCCAGGCTTAAAATCGGTGCACTATGGGATCTCGGCGCGTTCAAGATAAGGACTTTAGCTGCTAGGCCATTGTACCAGACCCGAAAAATAATCTATCTTAAAAAAATATGCAGTACAGTTTTATTTGTGTCTGGGGTTGGTGATGGAAAATAATGATACTTGCTTTATGTTTCATATGTTTCTTTTTTTAAAATTTTTACTTATCATTTTATTTGAAAGACAGAGAGATGGAGACAGTTATTCCATTCACTGGTTCACTCTGTTGCAGCCTACAATAGCCAGAACTTCCAGGCAGGTACTGGAAGTCAATCCAGGTCTTTCATATGGATGGCAGCAAAACAACTATTTGAGCCATACCTGCTCCCAGGATGTGCTTTAGCAGGAAGATGGATTAGAAGTGGAGAGGCCAGGGCTTGAACTAGGAACTCCACCAATATAAGATGCAGGTCTCTCAGGTCATGTCCTAGCTAGTACATTATATGACTTGTATATTTGTATATGGTCTTACATATTTCTGATTCACTTATAACAAGCAATTTCAAATACATGACACAGAGAGTATCAATGTTAACAATGAAGACTCTAATAGAAACTGTAATGAGAATTATTCTTCCATATTGCACCAGTTGTGTTTTTAGATTCCTCGTTCTAAGACAACCTCCCCTAAATCATCAATCCCTGAGGGGAAAACCCCTAAGGTCCCTTACCTACCTGGGTGAGTAAAAGGCCAAGGACCATCAATGAAGCCAATGTAAGCTGAAAGGCCAATAGAGAGGACTCCATGGGTGAATGTAACCAGCCGGCAGCTCCACTCATAGCTTCGGTGTTTATTCAGGCGGCAGAGAGAAGTATAGAGCGAGAGCCAGCCACACAGGCTGCAGAGCACCTGCAGACACAGAGCTAATGCCATCCTATGACAAAAAGACCAATAGCAGAAAAACACAGGATGCACCCTAAGAAAACAGCGGCAGGTTGTTTTTGTGCACATTGTCATGCTACTATAGAACAGTACAAAACATTGCCTTTACTCTCAACATGTCTTCCTCATTGACACAGCCAAGAATCTTCTAAGTATAGCTGTGTTTATAACTCCATCTTCCGTAGGGATAACATGCTGGCAACAGGTGAAAGCTTTAAATGGGAACTGAAAACTGCATTCTGAGTTAGCAGGCTAACATCAAGCTTTGATGGGTAAGTGTCAATCATGACCTTCCTACAAGGACTGGCCTTGGACAATATTACATGGATAAGAAAACACGCATTAGATAATGTCTTCACGTTGCAAAAGCAAAATCCCAGTAAGAAGCCCTCATTAGAAAATAAAATTGCTGTTTTGATCTCTGCTGGAAGACACATGCCATTGGCATAAAATGTGGTATTAAGCTGATACTAAACTCAGCTGGAGTTTGGATTTGGCATATCAGTCAAAACTGAAACTTGGGTTAACCTCCATATGGAAGCAAACTGAAAAGTCCAGACATCTTGGAAGATAGGAGGAACACTTCCCAGCCCTATTCAGTTATGAAATCCAACTCCACGATCGAGCAGGCAAAGCAGCATTTTGAGGCAGCAGAGGGGAGTCTGTGGAAATCTAAAAATACCTTTTGAGGCAATTATTGAATAAAAAAGTGAAAGTGAGAATCCTATACTGGGTGACAAACAGGTTTAATCAAGAACAACTAGAACCTAATCCATGTAGTCACACAGAACTCAAACTTAAGAATGACTAAGACATGGTTAATCATATTCTTTCCCTCTCCCCACTGAAAATGCAAACAAACAAGCAAAGAAAACTCCCGAACAGGTCAGGTATCTGTCTCATGTCAGTAGGAATTTTCTGCATGGCTAGGCTTATTGCTTAACCCCACTCAGGCTAGTGAAACAGTATCTGGATGCCAGCACAGTTCAATACACAAGCCACTCCCAAGAATGCTATCCGGAGAGGGCTCTGTGAAGGTCAAATTCTGTACAGCTTGCATCTAAAATCAGATTTGCTCTGGAGCAAACGGGAACTGTCCATCATAGACTCAAGTCCCAGACTCTCTCTGCTCCTACCTAGCAGAATATGGCCAAGTCACTTACACCTCTATAGCCACAGAATTTTTTTTTTCCAAAATAAAAAGCATGAAAGGAAAGAAGGAAAAGGGCAACAAAGGGAGAAAGACAAAAGGACTGAAGGATTCTGGGTTCCCGTGCGGTTCTGACATGGAGTTGTCATCAATTTCGCAAACGCTTCCAGGCCAGTTTTCCAGACCAAGGATTAGAAACTCAAAGCCCCCAAAACGAAAAGCACCGTCTTCTCTTACTTGCTTTGCTCTAAAAGGCCAGGGTCACTGGCCCATAATGCGGATCAGCGTACTGGGATATGCCGATTAGTATTTTTAGAGTCCTCCTTTCTGTATCCTAAGTACCCCAGCCGAACAAGGAGCCCATTTGCAAACACTGAAAGAAAACATCAGACACGTATAAAAAGCCAGACACAACTCTGCGACCTTGGGAACTCCCGGTCTGGCGTCCAGCTCTATACTCTTAGCTTTGTAAAAGAAACGGAAATGGCATTTCGGTGGGCCCAGCAGCTTAAGTCGCGGTCCAAGGGCCAGGCGGCCTCCGAGAAGCGCTGGGCGGGCCCAGCTGGCTCCCGGCCCCCGGGGCAGGCGTGGCTGGCGGGGAGAGCTGCAGCTTCCCCCGCGGGACTGCGATGGGACTGCGGGCCACGCCCAGCCCTGAGTCCCTGGGGCCCAGAAGGACCGTTATCCTCGCATCCCGCCGGGCGCTGGGGGCCTGGCGCCGGTAGGCAGCGAGAGGCCTTTTCCCACTTGGGAGGCCAGGCCAGGACATCTGCCTTCCGGCCCCATCACTGAGCCGGGACCCCTGAAGGCAGCCCCTGTACCCACCCGGGCCCGGAGCACGCATGCTGTTACCTGGCGGAGCGCACGGAGGTGCCTCGGGCACGGAGGCGGCGGGGATCGCGGCAACAGGAAGCGCACAGCGGGGGGATGAGGACGAGGCTGTGACGGCGGCGGAGGAGGAGCCGGGGGTCTGGGGGCACCTGCTGGCCGGGAGGACGGAGCGCAGAGCCCGGGCAGGCCAGGGAGGTGCAAATCCTGTGGTAAAGTCCTCCGACGTCGGACGGGGGTAGGGTGGGGAGGGGAAGGGAGGAGAGGGGATGGCGATCTGGCGGTGACGTGAGGCCTGCTGGACGACGCTCTTATTTGTTTATTGACTGTTTAATTAAATCTCTACCCAACTCCTTCCCTATGATGGGGCAGCCCCTCCAACAATTGATCGCTGAGCACCTGATAAATGCTTGCATCCCTAAGTACCGAGGCAGGTGGAAGACAAACTTACTGTTTTTGTCTGTGTTAAGAAGCACCGAAAGAACCGAGTACCAGGAAAGTGCTCCGGCCTGGGAATTAGGTGTGTTCTCATTCAAGCCTTGCCCTTTTAGAAGACGTTGCTGAATGTGTCTTTCGAAAACTTCCAAGCTTCTTTCTTGAGCCTCCCTGGTTTCACCTGCAGAATGGGCATGCTAACACACACCTCAACAGTTACAGTGACAAAATTTGTAGATTGCATGTGAGAAATATTAAAACAATGGCTGGCACATGGAAGGCACGGTAAATGCCAGCTCTCATTTTATTTCCTTTCGGGGTAAATGCTTTCTTCTTTCTGGGTCTTTCTTCTTTTCTTTTCTTCTGTTTTCTTTTTTTTTTTTTAAGATTTATTTATTTTTATTGCAAGATCAAATATACAGAGAAGAGGAGAGACAGAGAGGAAGATCTGCTGTCTGTTGATTCACTCCCCAAGTGACTGCAATGGTTGGAACTGAGCTGATCCAAAGCCAGGAATCAGGAGCTTCTTCTGGGTCTCCCACGCAGGTGCAGGGTCCCAAAGCTTTGGGCTGTTCTCAAGTGCTTTCCCAGGCCAGAAGGAGAGAGCTGGATGGGAAGCAGGGCTGCTGGAATTGGAGCCAGCACTCATACAGGATCCCGTGCCTTCAAGGTAAGGACTTTAGGTGCTAGGCCACCACGGTAGGCTCATTTTCTTTCTCTTTCTTTCTTTCTTTCTTTCTTTCTTTCTTTCTTTCTTTCTTTCTTTCTTTCTTTCTTTCTTTCTTTCTTTCTTTCCTTCTTTCTTTCTTTCTTTCTTTCTTTCTTTCTTTCTTTCTTTCTTTCTTTCTTCCTTCCTTCCTTCCTTCCTTTCTTTCTTTCTTTCTTTCTTTCTCTCTCTCTCTCTCTCTTCCTTCCTTCCTTCCTTCCTTTTCTTTCCATACATTTGTTTGAAAGGCAGAGTTATCCAGACAGAAGGAGAGTGAAAGGGAGATCCTCCATTCACTTGTTCACACAAATGGCCAGTGCTGAGTCTGAAGTTCAAAGCCAGGAGCCAGGAGTTTCTTCTCGATCTTCCATGTGGGGTTCAGGGGTCTAGTGAGTTGAGCCACCTTCTGCTGCTTTCTCAGGTGCATCAGCTGGAAGCCGTAGGGAACAGCAGGGACTCAAACCAGTGCCAAAATGGGATGCCAGGACTTCAGGCAGCAGCTCTACCCACTTTGTTACAGAGCCAGACTCCCTGGGTCTACTTTCTGATACCCAGGAGACAAGTTTGAAGAGAGAAGTACAGGTGCCCAAATGGGATAAAGGAGGTATCTAGCATGACCAAAATAGACAATGGTGGGATATCGAAAAGTTCAGACAGCCTTAAAAAGAGAAGATATTTGGCAGGGATGTGAGTGCTTGGACTCTGTGTGGAAATGGGAGGAACAGGAAATATCTCATTTGGGTTGTTAATCTTGCCTGCTCCCAAAGGACACAGATGGCACTGCTTGTATCCCTGTCTCCCCTGTATAATTGTGACACCAGTGCAGTGCAGGTTTGCTGGTTGAGGTACTAGAACACAAGGCTGGAAAACTAACTTGGAAGCATATTGCACTTCCTTACAGTTTATCATCTGTGCTACTTAGGAAGTTCAGGCTATACCCTGCAGATTGTGAAGTATTGTGTAGGGTCTGGGGACTATGGTTTTTAAATCCTACCCAGGGAGTCATTCAGGTGACCTGTCGCATTTGAGAACCACAGTGGTTAGAGTGCCTGAGATGCCAGCCCAAGAAGCCAAGCTGTGCCACCTTTTGTGCATAACAGGGAGTCTACGACAATACTGAGTAAGGAAATATCATGTCATCATGCTCTCCAAGCCTTGCTGCTCAAAATGTGGTCTTATGCATTACCTGAGTGTTCCTTAGCAACAATGGCTCTCAGGCCCTAACCTGTGCCTACTACAACAGAATCTGTTTCACAAGGCCCCAGGGGTTTGCATGCACATTTGAGCAGCAGTTATCAACCCTGAGAGCATAGTAAGATTGCTTGAAGAGCCTTTTTTTAAACCTCAATGGCCAGGCTGCATTGCAAAGAAAATCAACATTTCCACAGTTTTTAAACTGCACCCCCCTATGCCAAGGTGATTTTTAAATTATTATTATTTTAGATATTGCATAGTTGATCTGGGTGGGAAGGATCTAGGATTAGGGAGAAGTAGGTGTGATATTGTTTCCAAAATTTCTGTTACTTCTTCCCATTGCTAGGATGGTTGGGAGGCTGGGTAGGGCCTATCCTCTTATCTCCTCCATCCCCTCCTAGCACCCAAGGATGGGGAAAGGCCACCTGATATCAACCCAGGGTCACAATGTGGTGCATGCGCTGAGGGCTCTGCCCAGGTGGATGCAATTAGTTCTGAAATGCTGTCGATTTTGCCAATCTGTGGATGAGAAATCCCTTCCAATGTCTATTGGCTGACACAGTCAACCTTGGAGTCTCCATTTGCCCAGATATTTGCTGTCATCGTTTGACTGGAGTAGTTGTCCATATGTTCTGTTCTCATTCTCTGCTATGGTACCATATGTCCTCTGCAGGTCTCAATGGGCTACCATGTCCTCTATGAGCACCATTGTCGGCCGTCCTGCAG